TGACCTACTGCATCAATCAGTGTGCCTAGCACTGACAGGGCCAAAGCTCTGTAGTGCACGGCATACAAGTGGGAACATGGCTCTCCGGTTCCCACCACCCTGGAGGAACATTGCTGGGACTCGAGGCGTACATATGCCCTGAGCCTAACCACTGGTCTGTGCTCGCTACGGTGGCACATATACTAAAATTGGATCGATACAGAGAAGATTAGCATGGCCCCTGCGAAAGGATGACACGCAAATCCGTGAAGTGCTCCATATTGCTGTTTTAGTGCGTGGGTAAAAGTACAGAAATGCAAAAAGACAAAAGGCTTTTCATGATTCCAAATGGTGCATGAGGATGGGTTTAGCAAATCGTGGGAGGTGCTGCTGGGTCAACTGGAAAGTCTACATGCATGGTGAAAACGAATGTGGGATGCTTTGATCGTTTGTTTTGTTGTGCTAATGCACTTCCAAAGCCCTTGCTTTAGTGGGACTTTAACATAGGCTATCCTGACACTCTAATTTCCCCCTGTCCATAAACTTGGTGACCTACTGCATCAATCAGTGTGCCTAGCACTGACAGGGCCAAAGCTCTGTAGTGCACGGCATACAAGTGGGAACATGGCTCTCCAGGTCCCACCACCTTGGAGGAACATTGCTGGGACTCGAGGCGTACATATGCCCTGAGCCTGTCCACTCATCCGTGCTCGCTACGGTGGCACATATACTAAAATTGGATCGATACAGAGAAGATTAGCATGGCCCCTGCGAAAGGATGACACGCAAATCCGTGAAGCGCTCCATATTGCTGTTTTAGTGCGTAGGTAAAAGTACAGAAATGCAAAAAGACAAAAGGCTTTTCACGATTCCAAATGGTGCATGAGGATGGGTTTAGCAAATCGTGGGAGGTGCTGCTGGGTCAACTGGAAAGTCTACATGCATGGTGAAAACGAATGTGGGATGCTTTGATCATTTGTTTTGTTGTGCAACCAATGCACTTCCAAAGCCCTTGCTTTACTGGGACTTTGCCATAGGCTATCCTGACACTCTAATTTCCCCCTGTCCATAAACTTGGTGACCTACTGCATCAATCAGTGTGCCTAGCACTGACAGGGCCAAAGCTCTGTAGTGCACGGCATACAAGTGGGAACATGGCTCTCCAGGTCCCACCACCTTGGAGGAACATTGCTGGGACTCGAGGCGTACATATGCCCTGAGCCTGACTGCTGATCTGTGCTCGCTACGGTGGCACATATACTAAAATTGGATCGATACAGAGAAGATTAGCATGGCCCCTGCGAAAGGATGACACGCAAATCCGTGAAGCGCTCCATATTGCTTTTTTAGTGCGTGGGTAAAAGTACAGAAATGAAAAAAGACAAAAGGCTTTTCACGTTTCCAAATGGTGCATGACGATGGGTTTAGCAAATCGTGGGAGGTGCTGCTGGGTCAACTGGAAAGTCTACATGCATGGTGACAACGAATGTGGGATGCTTTGATCATTTGTTTTGTTGTGCTAATGCACTTCCAAAGCCCTTGCTTTAGTGGGATTGCCATAGGCTACCGTGACACTCTAATTTCCCCCCGTCCATAAACTTGGTGACCTACTGCATCAATCAGTGTGCCTAGCACTGACAGGGCCAAAGCTCTGTAGTGCACGGTATATAAGTGGGATCATGGCTCTTCGGGTCCCACCACCTTGAAGGAACATTGCTGGGACTCGAGGCGTACATATGCCCTGAGCCTGACCACTGGTCTGTGCTCGCTACGGTGGCACATATACTAAAATTGGATCGATACAGAGAAGATTAGCATGGCCCCTGCGAAAGGATGACACGCAGATCCGTGAAGCGCTCCATATTGCTGTTTTAGTGCGTGGGTAAAAGTACAGAAATGAAAAAAGACAAAAGGCTTTTCACGATTCCAAATGGTGCATGAGGATGGGTTTAGCAAATCGTGGGAGGTGCTGCTGGGTCAACTGGAAAGTCTACATGCATGGTGAAAACGAATGTGAGATGCTTTGATCGTTTGCTTTGTTGTGCAACCAATGCACTTCCAAAGCCCTTGCTTTACTGGGACTTTGCCATAGGCTATCCTGACACTCTAATTTCCCCCTGTCCATAAACTTGGTGACCTACTGCATCAATCAGTGTGCCTAGCACTGACAGGGCCAAAGCTCTGTAGTGCACGGCATACAAGTGGGAACATGGCTCTCCAGGTCCCACCACCTTGGAGGAACATTGCTGGGACTCGAGGCGTACATATGCCCTGAGCCTGACTGCTGATCTGTGCTCGCTACGGTGGCACATATACTAAAATTGGATCGATACAGAGAAGATTAGCATGGCCCCTGCGAAAAGGAACCTGATGGATCTTCTCTGTCCCCACCCTGCGGCCCCCAGCGATCCTCTCGACGTCACATGGCCTTGGACTGCAGGGTAGTGACCCCTGAACCCCATTGGGGTCACCTGTGGCCTTGAAGGGTGCTCATGCTTGCTGAAATTAAAGAAATGCCCAATATGGTAAAAAATCAAAGGCGGGCCCAGGGGCGGGCTGGCAGGCTACCTGAAACTGGCATAACAAGTAGCCATGTGCTTTCTGGGGTATGACAGGTGCATATTAAGTAGCCATGTGGACAGCTGTCATTGTATATCAGGCAATCAAGAATGTGTATTACAATGTAACTGAATAACTTGAAAAAGAAAATTCATTTTAAAGGAGTTACATTTAATAATAAAAAAGTATATTTTGTAATAAATGTATTAAAATATTGTATGTTTATTTACAACATAGCTAGCTAAAATGTTTTTATAATTATGACTTATATTTTATATTTTTTAAGTAATAAAATATTTTAATAGTTCAATAATAAAACATACTGAAATATTGACTTTTAAATTGAATATTGTATAGGGTAACTGATGTTAAATTAAAACATTCAGTTTAAGGTTACCTAACGTTTAGGTAACTTATTTATTAATATTGAATAGCATGTAATAAAATATTTAAACAAAATGATCATAGTACCTAAAAATATTAGGTTATAGGATATAAAAATATATATCTATAATATATATAATAATTAAAATATATTATAATTAAAAGAGTCTAAAATGTAAATATTAGGCATTAATATTTAAATAGGTTTATTATTACTTTTAAGTTTAATAAATTAAGAATATAATTAAATATATTTTAAAGTTGTATTTTATTTACTTTAATTTTTACAGTTACATTAACATATACACATAATTTTTAGGTGTTACTGCATTTATATTGAACATTTACTTAAGTTTAATTTACAATATAATTTTATACCACAATTGTTTTTTACTGTTAGGTAAACTCTATTGTTTATAACTTGTTTATCAATAAAATACAGGACCCTTAAATTACACAATGATAATGTTAAAGCCACCACATGAATATGTGTACGCAGTGTATTTTTGGAAGTTTTATTTTATTAAACAAGTTCTTTAACTCTTGTTTGCAATAAATGAATAGAAAAAAATTATGTAAAGTGTAATATAAATTAAGTTATTTGAGTCACAACAGATAACCCACTCTTGGGATACTGTAGCTACTGAACAAATATCTTATAAAAAAGAAAAGAAAAAAAGCTGAAACATACACAGAGATTAGCAAAAATTAGAAAAGTTTATTTACACAAAATATATAACTATTTATACTTTTAACATATTAGGGCTGTACAATATAGTGAAATATTAATTTTGTTATCACAACAGTATATGGGATATAAAAATCACAAACGTATGATAAATTATTATTTTATAAACTACCTTCCCAGTAGTTGCTGCTCAGCTATTTGCTTGAGCAGCTCAAAGCGTAACCCAGAGCTAAAAATCAACACTAACTGCAAAAGTTAAGAAAAAAGAAAATGACAACAGCCAATCACCTTGACAGTGTTTTTAGACTTAAAATTTTTAGAATTAGGAGTTAAATTGCATCTAAAAATGATCTTTTAACCATTTAATATTAAGTAAATGATTTATTAACACACACACAAAAAGCTGCATTTTTCTAGGGAAATGTTATTTTAGAAGTAATCAAATTTTTCTAAGGTATCATAAAGCCCTAAAACATATACAAGTATGAATATATATATATATATATTTATTTATTTTTTATTTTTATTTATTTTTTTAAACAAAATAAACATTTAGAACAAATGTACAAAATTGGTCATTTTTAAGAGTCTATTTTGTCTCTCCTTTTTTAACTTCCTCCATCCACTGCGCCACAGTTTTCCCAGAAGCCTTTGCACAAAAGTGGACGCCTCTGAACTGGCTATGGCCAAATTCTTTAGTTTTTGGCTGGCCACACTTTTGGCATAGGAACTGCTGAGGTGCTTGTCTTTTTCGGGGAGTCAAACCTTGAGCTGCTGCTGCAGCGGCTGCCTCCGCCAACTTCTTCCGCCGCCATGCTGTGGTCTTTGGCACCCTCTTTTCATCTGGCGCAGCAACTGGTGCGAGTACTCCAACAACAGTAACAGGCGCAGCACCAGCAGGAACAGAAAGAGGCACAGCACCAGCAGGAACAGGTGCAGCACCAGCAGGAACAGGAACAGGTGCAGCACCAGCAGGAAAAGCAACAGTCTTAGCAAAGCCTGCAGAAGATGATTCAAGTGCTGCGGTAAATGCAAGTGCTGCAAAAGGTGCTGATGTGGAGGCAGGTGTGAGGTAAGTGGCTGTGCCAGGAGAGACATGAGGACCAGGTTTGACAGATGCTGCCGCTGTGCCCACAGGAGGCGGTCGGCCTCGAGAACGCGGTGCTGCCTGTCCAGACGCATCCTGCGGTATTGCAGACTCGAAACACGAGTGTCCGTGCTGGACTGCTTCCGACAGTTTTTGTAGCACCGGTGGGAGCGGTACAGGGGCCACCAGAGGAGCAGAGAACGCCTCGATGTCCTGCTGCAAAACCTCCCACTCTTGCTACTTTGTTCGTGCGTTAAACCTATGAACAGAAAAGACAATAGTTAGTATAGGTGTTAAATTATTTTGAATATGAAAGGAGACACAAACAAGAACAATAAATACTGAACCTACCACTGTGAGATGGTAAGCTGGTTCAGCTCAAACAGTTTTAATTTAGTTTGAGCCATGATTCCGGGGCTGCCCAAGACTACATCACGGATCTTCCTGTAGTCCCTTAGAATGGCAGCCCATCGGTTCACACGAACTCCGGAGATGGTTTGCCCGGCAGGGTGGATTCTGCAGAGAGCCAGGCAGATAGCTTCCACTAGACGGCTTGCACTGGGCCACTGTGCAGGTCCACCTTCACCAAGGAAGCATCTGTGAAATGAAAAGGGACATACCATAAGACACATATCAGTCAACCACATCAATAACGCTGGTTCCAAGACTTGCTATGAATAGAAAAATAAAAAAAAACAGAATACAAAAAAAGCTACCTCTTTAGACTATCTGTGCCGGGGGTTACGTTGGTCTTCGAATGGCTGACCTTAAAGCGACCCTTCAGCAGTTTGTCACGGTGGCGGGGAGGATAGATGAGAGGTCCCTTGTCATGATCTGCTAGGTGGTTCCACAGCATGACAATTTTATCTACCATACTCTGCGTGACAAACCCCTGATGCCGCAGGTCAACCAGACAGTCAGCCAGTCTAATGACATGGTCATATCCAGGTTGGCCATCTGGTCCCACACTCTCCATCTGTACATGAAAACAAACAAACAAATTAATAAAAAATAAATAAATAAATGTACCAATATGAAATGACTTTTTGTTAAATTTTACTCAAAGTTAGTCATTCCTTTGTGGTAAAATTAAATATCAGAATCATCACGTATCATGACATCACAGTGTACACAGTGTGTTTGAGTGTTCATTGACCTGGCTCTGACTGGACGACGCAGGAGAGGAAGACACAGCTGCTGGGTCTGTCTGGGATGAGGGCTGAGAGGGGTTTTGGAGGTTGCCCTCAAGCTCCATAAATTCAGTGGGCTCGTCGAGGTATGCATCCTCAAACCCCTCATCGCCCTCCAGATCAGCCAGTAGGTCTTCATCCTGAAGGTCATCGGGAACATCAGGATCTTTAGCCAGGTCTTCCTCTAGAGCTCTATTGGTCTGAGAATACAAGTATTCCACACCAATAAGCTCTCCTGTAGAAATACAGAGTTTAAATGCTTTAAATAAAGAAATGGCTGGAAAACAGCTAAAATAAAATTTCTGCATTAATGCAATACCTGTATATTCACCGGGGCTGGTGTAATCCTGCACCAGTTTCTGTCCCAGGAGCTGCTGGCTCAGTATATTGCAGTACTGCAGCAGCTGGCCACCGTAGCAGATGTTCTCTCTGCGGGCACCCTCTACTGCAGCGACCCCACGTGCCTCATTCCACTGCACCAGGCCTTCCAGCAGGTACATTTGAAAATGCAAAGCATTTGCACTTGTACCTAAAAACAAATTTAGAAATGATTGTAAAATCATAGTACAAACACACAAATAAACAACAAGTGGCATTTTTTGGGTAATGTTAACCTGGGACGAAGCGATTTAGGTGCAGGTGGAATGACTCCAGAGATGTGGAGCCACGTGCACAGCGATACACTGGCAGAATGACCCCCTCCTTGGTCACCTGCCCTGTTTTCCTGTACAGCTGTACACCTGGCGGGTCCTGGATGCAATGAACGTGGCGCTGCTGGGTCTGCCAGATCTCTTGCATCCTCTCCTGGTCCAGAAGTCTAATCCCCATGGTGTCAGTGGCCCCCATGAAGTCTTGTAGCAGCTTCTCAAGAAGCTGCATGGTCTCCTGGGCCCCTCGAGTGCGGCGGCGGCAATGCTTTGCCAGTTCTTTGGCAGTGGGCTGGCAGCCTGTCAACCGCTTGGCCTCCATTAGCCTCTCCACATCTGAAGCATCCCATTCAAAGATGCAAGCAGTGAGGCGCTTCATGAAGGGTGCATAAAGCGGGTGGCTGTCTGTGGTCACTCCAACGCTAAACCGCCGCATGAAGTGCCACACATCCAGCCTGACAATGAGCTGGTCCCACTCGCTAAACATTGCAGCCGCCTTTCCTTTCCCAGTGGCAGAGCAACAGTCCCGGTCCACATAGAGAAGTTGGGGAGGAACTTCTCCAGCTCTCCGGTAGCGCTCCACGAGTCCAGAGCACATGGGAAGCAGGCCATCACCCTCTGCCTCAGTGAGGACACACATGAGAACCTGGCCAAACTCGTTGCCCACATCTGTGACCCATGCTGCAGTGCCAGCAGCCTCACCAGCCAGTTTCTTAGTGACCTAATACAGGATGAAATATAGTAATATTATAGAAGACCTGTTGTTTTACGGTTGGAAAATAACATATTGTGACAAATAAATTAAATAACAAAACAGTAATGTGGCAATGATGTTATCAGTGTGTGTATTTTTACCTTTTTAGTGGAATCCATCTTTAGGATGGTTCCATAGATGGAGGTCACTCTAGCCTTTAGTTCAGGCAGCCGTGTCAGTACATCTTTAGCATACACTGACAGCAGCCATGCCGGACAAGGCACAGGCACCATCTGAGGTAGCCGGGCAGCGAGACTGCTGGGATCTGTGGTGCAGTCTGGGAACTTCCCAACCACAGAGAGATAATGGGTTGTCTGGGCAATCCATTGCTCTCTGTGCCTGACACACAGGCTTCGGTAGGCAGACGTTGCACTGTTCCCAAGTGAGCGTCCCCGCATCCACCTCACAATCTCCTTATCACAGGACAGCCTATATAATAAAAAATACACACAAAAAGGCAGCTAAATATCAGACTAATCAGAACAGACATTTTTCCATGTTAAAACTAGTGCTGTCAAACAAATAATCATGTTTAGTTAGTATTTATTTAATATATTATATGCATTTCATGTATTGTACGTGTGTGTGTGTGTGAAAGTGAAATATATATATAAAATCATAATAAATATGCCAACCTGTAGGTCAAGACTGCAGGAAACATTTCCCTGTGGACAGGATCAAGCTGGCTAAGAATATCTTGAGACCAGGCTGCTAGCTTTTTTTTGCAGGACCTGCATTCAAGATATTCTGTAGCCATGTAGTACCAGCCACTGACGTCCAAGACTTTCCTGACCGTCCTGTACAGTCCACACGCCGTCATCGGGAAACCAAGACGCCGACAGTTAGGCTGTGAACACAGCAGCCGGTATGCCCACAAGCGATAAGGGACCCACAGGAACAGCCTTGCATGATAAAAGGCATCTGGTGATGAAGGAGGTTGAGAATACAAAGGACGGGGCCCAGGAGGATGCCACCAGAGACGCAAGTTTTTAGTCAGCGCCAGTCTGCCAGACTTGTCTCTGGTGAAAAGAGCCTTGCTGACCCACAAATGCTGCTCCTTGGGAAGTGTCTGTTTCCAGCCTTCTGGCAGCAGCAGCTGTAAGGGAAAGAAAAAACAGAAATCATGTACATGTCTACTTTTTTGGTGTCTGATTTTTGACTAGTCATTTTACTTACTTCCTCTGTGGGCAGAGGCTGCTTTTCTGGCGCAGCAGCTTTCGACGCAGAGGGCACAGGTTCAGGCCGGACGGGTGGTTCAGGAGCCAAGTCAGCTACAGTGCATGGCACAAAAAAAAAGGAAATGAGATACATAGAATTGGCACAATCTCTCATAGTAATACTTCTAACAGAATAAAAAATAATGATAATTTACTACTGCTAGATATTAGTACTACAATTAAGCATTAGTAACATGTTAACATTAGTTGTTGCAATGTATGTGATGATTAAAATTATTGTAATGAGATGAAGACGAGCATAAATATGTGATGATAAAAAGTTAGCGGTTTAATGTTGAGCGGGATGAAAAATGGCGGCGGTCGGTGGTAAAAAAAAGCAATTTGTGAGGAAAAAAGCCTAAGAGAGAAAAAAGCTGTCATTATATTTGGTAAAAAGCAGGAAAAGATAAAGATTAGAAAAAGCCAGGTTAGCTACCGATGATCAGAAGGTGTAGTACACCTCCTACCTTACTGCTTCCAAAACCATCCAGCTGAAAGCTGCTAATACATAATAACAAACCAGGTTATATAACGTACAATAGCCCAGTAGGGCATATAAATGTACAATAACACAGTATTCTTAAATTAAAGGGCAAATTTAAACCCACGTAATTCCCACCTGAAACATCCATGTGTGACACTACGGCAAGCAGAGCTTCATCAGATGGTTCTTCCTCAGGAGCTGAGCTGGAGGCAGCCACTGTTAACATAAGGATAAACAGCATTAAGTCATCTTTATTTAAATTGTGCTTAACACAATAAAAATAGTTTTCAAAGCACTTTACAGTATGCAAACATTCTGGAAAAATGACAAAATCACTTTAAAGCAAGGTCAAGTCATTACTGTTCAGTGCTGTTTCAAAAGCTGCGTTAAGTTTATACAGCAATTATAATAAAAACAAAATGAAGTCACATAAAATTCATGCCTGGAGGTGCTGATCCTGGCAGCATCTCAGCATCTCTTCTCCTTATATATTTCTGGAAAAGTTCCATCTTTGTGCCAGGTCTGGAACTCTGCCTTTTTACCCACTTGACAAATCTGAAAATGGAGAGAACACCTTTGAAAAACACTACACTTGGAGAGACAAACAATATACTGTATGTTACTGTCTGCATCCTCTGTAACAGATGTCAACCCATACCCTTTTCTGTCACGGTCCGTTGCCTCATAAAGGTCCTTGAAGGACATGGCAGCAAAGTTGCCAAAACCAACAAGAACCTGGTCTTCCTGGGCTGGTGTGCCATGGCCCTCTCTGACACGGCGCTCGCTGATGGCAGCCATCATGACAGGAAACAAGCCAGCATACCGCAGCAATGCGTCTTTGTTTCCCATGATGAATGACTGGGTGGTGTCACCATCCTCACGCTCCCGCTGATGCACGGCCAGCACCATGGCTGCATAACCAACATCGTTGGAAAGCAACCATTTAAAGGTTTTACCCCGGTACTGGCCGAACTGCAGGGCGCTTTCGCTGAGCACGAGCTGGTGACAAGACGAGTCACCACCCGCTGCTGCCACGCGAGCGATAGCCTCCTCCTTGACCCTTGCCGCAGGCCATGAACGGCCCGGAGTGGGATTTTTTCTGTAGGCAGCAGCCAGAGCTACTGCCTCAGGTGATGGTTTAAGGGTCAGCTCACCGGTGGCCTCCCTGCGAAACTGGGCACTGTAGTCCATCTACAACAGACACACACACACAAAAAATTTATGAAAAAAATAAAGAAAATCACAATGTTGTTAAAACTCAAGTTCAAAACAAGTTAATTAACATTTAACAACAAAATGAACAAATACATTCTACTCAAAGTGCGGTTTTACATGACACCAGTAATTTATAGTATGTATGTATATATATATATATATATATATATATATATATATATATATATATATATATATATATATATATATATATATATATGTTTATAGAATACAAACACACACACATATACATATATATATATCTTAACACAAAACCTACCATCCCCCCACACAACACACCCCCAGCCACAAGCTGGGGATCAAAAAGATATTATTGTACAATAACAATAAAATGCATTTACAAAAACAGCTACTTTGTAGTAACCTAACTTTTTTAAAATATAAAACCAGGCACTTGTGTTTTTTAATGACACAAGATAACGACGATATCTACAATAAACATGCAACTTGTAGTAATTGTATTAAAAAAAAACAGGTAAAACACTGTAAACCCACAAGTACCGTCGAGTTTACTACAGTAATAACTTATTTTAAAATTATATTGTTTTATTAGACTGGTTTGTTATTTTGATGTTACGACGTCGACGACCAAGTCACTTTACAGTGCAAATACAATGCAGAATCACACGAAAGGCATGCTCGCTTACCTTTTGAAAGAAGAAAAATAAAGACAGAATGTCCTGAAATTGTGTTTTTTAATCGTGATGAGTTGCGTAACAATGCCAATGTTAATGATGCAAATAACGCCAAGGATCCGTGTGTACTGTGTACCGCTATGCTTTCTCCCCCACTTTATAAATAGCGCTGCCAGGAGGTCCCGCCCAGCAGCCAATCGGAGCGCACGCTCAGTGGAACTTTCTCAAAGGGCCAACGGCACACTACAAGACATGACCAAATTCGGAAGCACGCTTAGTGGAACTTTGCGTCGACCAATCCCGAGCCAGACGTCGGGCCAATCAGGAAGAAGGGAAAGTGGAACTGTGGAACGGGAAGGGAACCGAAGATTCTCCCGCAAGAGGCGCAAGGATGACACGCAAATCCGTGAAGCGCTCCATATTGCTGTTTTAGTGCGTGGGTAAAAGTACAGAAATGCAAAAAGACAAAAGGCTTTTCACGATTCCAAATGGTGCATGAGGATGGGTTTAGCAAATCGTGGGAGGTGCTGCTGGGTCAACTGGAAAGTCTACATGCATGGTGAAAATGAATGTGGGATGCTTTGATCGTTTGCTTTGTTGTGCAACCAATGCACTTCCAAAGCCCTTGCTTTACTGGGACTTTGCCATAGGCTATCCTGACACTCTAATTTCCCCCTGTCCATAAACTTGGTGACCTACTGCATCAATCAGTGTGCCTAGCACTGACAGGGCCAAAGCTCTGTAGTGCACGGCATACAAGTGGGAACATGGCTCTCCAGGTCCCACCACCTTGGAGGAACATTGCTGGGACTCGAGGCGTACATATGCCCTGAGCCTGTCCACTCGTCTGTGCTCGCTACGGTGGCACATATACTAAAATTGGATCGATACAGAGAAGATTAGCATGGCCCCTGCGAAAGGATGACACGCAAATCCGTGAAGCGCTCCATATTGCTGTTTTAGTGCGTGGGTAAAAGTACAGAAATGAAAAAAGACAAAAGGCTTTTCACGATTCCAAATGGTGCATGAGGATGAGTTTAGCAAATCGTGGGAGGTGCTGCTGGGTCAACTGGAAGGTCTACATGCATGGTGAAAACGAATGTGGGATGCTCTGATCGTTTGTTTTGTTGTGCTAATGCACTTCCAAAGCCCTTGCTTTAGTGGGACTTTGCCATAGGCTATCCTGACACTCTAATTTCCCCCTGTCCATAAACTTGGTGACCTACTGCATCAATCAGTGTGCCTAGCACTGACAGGGCCAAACCTCTGTAGTGCACGGTATATAAGTGGGAACATGGCTCTTCGGGTCCCACCACCTTGAAGGAACATTGCTGGGACTCGAGGCGTACATATGCCCTGAGCCTGTCCAATCGTCCGTGCTCGCTACGGTGGCACATATACTAAAATTGGATCGATACAGAGAAGATTAGCATGGCCCCTGCGAAAGGATGACACGCAAATCCGTGAAGCGCTCCATATTGCTGTTTTAGTGCGTGGGTAAAAGTACAGAAATGCAAAAAGACAAAAGGCTTTTCACGATTCCAAATGGTGCATGAGGATGGGTTTAGCAAATCGTGGGAGGTGCTGCTGGGTCAACTGGAAAGTCTACATGCATGGTGAAAACGAATGTGGGATGCTTTGATCATTTGTTTTGTTGTGCAACCAATGCACTTCCAAAGCCCTTGCTTTACTGGGACTTTGCCATAGGCTATCCTGACACTCTAATTTCCCCCTGTCCATAAACTTGGTGACCTACTGCATCAATCAGTGTGCCTAGCACTGACAGGGCCAAAGCTCTGTAGTGCACGGCATACAAGTGGGAACATGGCTCTCCAGGTCCCACCACCTTGGAGGAACATTGCTGGGACTCGAGGCGTACATATGCCCTGAGCCTGACTGCTGATCTGTGCTCGCTACGGTGGCACATATACTAAAATTGGATCGATACAGAGAAGATTAGCATGGCCCCTGAGAAAGGATGACACGCAAATCCGTGAAGCGCTCCATATTGCTTTTTTAGTGCGTGGATAAAAGTACAGAAATGAAAAAAGACAAAAGGCTTTTCACGTTTCCAAATGTTGCATGACGATGGGTTTAGCAAATCGTGGGAGGTGCTGCTGGGTCAACTGGAAAGTCTACATGCATGGTGACAACGAATGTGGGATGCTTTGATCATTTGTTTTGTTGTGCTAATGCACTCCCAAAGCCCTTGCTTTAGTGGGATTGCCATAGGCTATCCTGACACTCTAGTTTCCCCCCCCCCGTCCATAAACTTGGTGACCTACTGCATCAATCAGTGTGCCTAGCACTGACAGGGCCAAAGCTCTGTAGTGCACGGCATACAAGTGGGAACATGGCTCTCCAGGTCCCACCACCTTGGAGGAACATTGCTGGGACTCGAGGCGTACATATGCCCTGAGCCTGACTGCTGATCTGTGCTCGCTACGGTGGCACATATACTAAAATTGGATCGATACAGAGAAGATTAGCATGGCCCCTGCGAAAGGATGACACGCAAATCTGTGAAGCGCTCCATATTGCTGTTTTAGTGCGTGGGTAAAAGTACAGAAATGAAAAAAGACAAAAGGCTTTTCACGATTCCAAATGGTGCATGAGGATGGGTTTAGCTTATCGTGGGAGGTGCTGCTGGGTCAACTGGAAAGTCTACATGCATGGTGAAAACGAATGTGGGATGCTTTGATCGTTTGCTTTGTTGTGCAACCAATGCACTTCCAAAGCCCTTGCTTTACTGGGACTTTGCCATAGGCTATCCTGACACTCTAATTTCCCCCTGTCCATAAACTTGGTGACCTACTGCATCAATCAGTGTGCCTAGCACTGACAGGGCCAAAGCTCTGTAGTGCACGGCATACAAGTGGGAACATGGCTCTCCAGGTCCCACCACCTTGGAGGAACATTGCTGGGACTCGAGGCGTACATATGCCCTGAGCCTGTCCACTCGTCCGTGCTCGCTACGGTGGCACATATACTAAAATTGGATCGATACAGAGAAGATTAGCATGGCCCCTGCGAAAGGATGACACGCAAATCCGTGAAGCGCTCCATATTGCTGTTTTAGTGCGTGGGTAAAAGTACAGAAATGCAAAAAGACAAAAGGCTTTTCACGATTCCAAATGGTGCATGAGGATGGGTTTAGCAAATCGTGGGAGGTGCTGCTGGGTCAACTGGAAAGTCTACATGCATGGTGAAAACGAATGTGGGATGCTTTGATCATTTGTTTTGTTGTGCAACCAATGCACTTCCAAAGCCCTTGCTTTACTGGGACTTTGCCATAGGCTATCCTGACACTCTAATTTCCCCCTGTCCATAAACTTGGTGACCTACTGCATCAATCAGTGTGCCTAGCACTGACAGGGCCAAAGCTCTGTAGTGCACGGCATACAAGTGGGAACATGGCTCTCCAGGTCCCACCACCTTGGAGGAACATTGCTGGGACTCGAGGCGTACATATGCCCTGAGCCTGACTGCTGATCTGTGCTCGCTACGGTGGCACATATACTAAAATTGGATCGATACAGAGAAGATTAGCATGTCCCCTGCGAAAGGATGACACGCAAATCCGTGAAGCGCTCCATATTGCTTTTTTAGTGCGTGGGTAAAAGTACAGAAATGAAAAAAGACAAAAGGCTTTTCACGTTTCCAAATGGTGCATGACGATGGGTTTAGCAAATCGTGGGAGGTGCTGCTGGGTCAACTGGAAAGTCTACATGCATGGTGACAACGAATGTGGGATGCTTTGATCGTTTGTTTTGTTGTGCTAATGCACTTCCAAAGCCCTTGCTTTAGTGGGATTGCCATAGGCTATCCTGACACTCTAATTTCCCCCCCGTCCATAAACTTGGTGACCTACTGCATCAATCAGTGTGCCTAGCACTGACAGGGCCAAAGCTCTGTAGTGCACGGCATACAAGTGGGAACATGGCTCTCCGGTTCCCACCACCCTGGAGGAACATTGCTGGGACTCGAGGCGTACATATGCCCTGAGCCTGACCACTGGTCTGTGCTCGCTACGGTGGCACATATACTAAAATTGGATCGATACAGAGAAGATTAGCATGGCCCCTGTGAAAGGATGACACGCAAATCCGTGAAGCGCTCCATATTGCTGTTTTAGTGCGTGGGTAAAAGTACAGAAATGAAAAAAGACAAAAGGCTTTTCACGATTCCAAATGGTGCATGAGGATGGGTTTAGCAAATCGTGGGAGGTGCTGCTGGGTCAACTGGAAAGTCTACATGCATGGTGAAAATGAATGTGGGATGCTTTGATCGTTTGCTTTGTTGTGCAACCAATGCACTTCCAAAGCCCTTGCTTTACTGGGACTTTGTCATAGGCTATCCTGACACTCTAATTTCCCCCTGTCCATAAACTTGGTGACCTACTGCATCAATCAGTGTGCCTAGCACTGACAGGGCCAAAGCTCTGTAGTGCACGGCATACAAGTGGGAACATGGCTCTCCAGGTCCCACCACCTTGGAGGAACATTGCTGGGACTCGAGGCGTACATATGCCCTGAGCCTGTTCACTCGTCCGTGCTCGCTACGGTGGCACATATACTAAAATTGGTTCGATACAGAGAAGATTAGCATGGCCCCTGCGAAAGGATGACACGCAAATCCGTGAAGCGCTCCATATTGCTGTTTTAGTGCGTGGGTAAAAGTACAGAAATGAAAAAGACAAAAGGCTTTTCACGATTCCAAATGGTGCATGAGGATGGGTTTAGCAAATCGTGGGAGGTGCTGCTGGGTCAACTGGAAAGTCTACATGCATGGTGAAAACGAATGTGGGATGCTTTGATCGTTTGTTTTGTTGTGCTAATGCACTTCCAAAGCCCTTGCTTTAGTGGGACTTTGCCATAGGCTATCCTGACACTCTAATTTCCCCCTGTCCATAAACTTGGTGACCTACTGCATCAATCAGTGTGCCTAGCACTGACAGGGCCAAAGCTCTGTAGTGCACGGCATACAAGTGGGAACATGGCTCTTCGGGTCCCACCACCTTGAAGGAACATTGCTGGGACTCGAGGCGTACATATGCCCTGAGCCTGACC